AATTCCATACAAAACGCCCAAAAAGCTTTTTCAACGAAAATTTATTCCAGCAACAATAAAGTATTCACAGTAACAAATGTAACATTTCTTTTCGTCACAGAAAATGCTTCTTTGGGTGAAGCGACAGCACAGACCACTGACTGCGACGGCGCCGAGGGCCAGGCCTTTCACGACCATGTAAATTTATGCCAGTCACCGATGACAATGTCAGAAGAACAATCGAAACTCAACAAAACAAAAACACAGCCAAGAAAACTCTATATGATACGAGATTACTGGGCCACTTTTTGAAGACACCAGAAATAAACGAAGCTAGAGAAATCCACGAAATCCTTCCAAATGAACTGGAAACAATTCTATGCAAATTCTTTATCAGTGTCCGTAAACCAAGTGGTGATGACTACGAGCCTACTTCCTTACGATCTATGCTTTCTAGCTTTAAACGTCACCTGAAAAAACACAAATACATGTATTCACTGATCAGTAGTATTGAGTTTAATGAGGTGCAGGAAACAATAAAAGCAAAACAGAAGAAATTAAAGAAAGATGGAAAGGGCAACCTACCGCGAACAGCTGAGGCGGCTACAGATGAGTAAATCGAAAATCTGTGGGAAGCGGGACAGTTTGGGTCCCACAGTCCTGAAGCAATAATAATCACCATGTGGTTTTATAACACAGTACATTTTGGTCTGAGGGGTAATACCAAGCACCGTAACATGTGTTGGGGAGATGTAAGCCTATGTACTGATAGTAGCAGTCGTGAATATCTTGAGTTCTCTGAACGGCAAACTAAAACTCGGACTGCAGAAAATCCAAGGGATACCAGAAAAGTGAAGCCAAAGATGTGAGACGTCCCTGCGAATCCCAGATGTCCAGTTGCTATTTTCAAAAAATACCTCAGTCTACGACCAGCTGGTTACACAAATAGTGACGACCCATACTACGTCGCCACGCATTCTCGCGGACTGCCCAGACTGGGTGAGCAGTGGTTAATAGGTATTAATAAAATAGGTTCCCTGATGAAAAATATGGCAACTGCAGCAAATTTACCACCAAACAAACACCTCACAAATCATAGTGCCAGAAAGCATCTCATCCAGAAATTAAGTGACCAAAATATACCACCGACACAAATAATGCAGATCTGCGGTCATCGTAACATTCAGTCCGTCAATGCCTACAGCACTATATCAGAAAACCAACACAGAGAAATTTCTGGCATTTTGAATAATCAAGTAGCCACCCTTAACTATAGCACATCAAACCCGTGCCAAACATCAATACCTTCTGTTATGCAACCTCAATCACAACGTAACATCGCGTCCCAGTTGACATCAACCAATATCAGCCATCATGCCTCGACCTTGAGTTCACAATCCACACCAATATTTGGAGGCCCCATTTCCAGCGGAGTATTTAATGTACACAAACATTACAACATTGCCAACAATGACAATTCCACCGAAAAGACGTCGGATATATGTGTTTGATTCCTCTCAGTCATCAGATGAGAACTAAATAATAACTTTCAATCGACGCAGCGTTGACTTCCATGTTTGATCTCGTAGACCATGTCAATGACGTCATGGAGTGACGGGGAAACCCCCGATAAATACTTGTAATTCCTACAGCTTTTTGATGTATTTAATAGTTTTTACTGCTTTCGTTTTTTCGCTTTAAGTGTTTAAGTTAAAAATAATGTAATTTGTTTATTTGTATTCTAACTAGTTTGGTGTTTGGACTTTTATTAAAGTTCATTTTGATCGCTTTTGTCTCTTCAATGACTCTTCACTTTCACTTGTTCGATCGAATCAATGCGCCCAGTGTTTGCGTTGTCGATTTCGACTGCCGACGACAGTGGAAACATTTGGCTTTGATTTACACAAAAAAGAATACATGTGATAAATATGATCTCA